GGAGCTGCCCCCGCATCCCTCCCGGCGCGTCTGGGGCCGGGGCCGTGCTCATCTGCACCGGCCGCGGGGCATGGCACCCGCCCCAGCTGCCTGCCTGGTTAGCTATGCCGTTTTGCCCTTCGCCCAGGTGCCCTCTGGTGCAGTCCTGGCCCTCTGCTCCTCTCCCTGCGAGGTGTGCTGCCTCCCTGCAGGGCAGCTCTCCTGCTTGAAGGGTCTTGGCACCACCAGTGAATAAATCAGATGTGGACTCGACTGGGAGCTAGAGCAGTACCTGAGCCTAGGACTGGAGGGACAGAGGCTGAACAGAGGCTTTCTTGGTCTCAGAGCTAACTTCTTGCAAAGGTCCCCAAGCCCAGATTTCCCTAATTTACTTCTTGACTGTCTAAGCCTTATAATAAGAGGGTGCATGTGTTGTCACATATTTATAGCAGGTACTATTATCCAGGTAGCACCAGGTCTTCTGTCTTACACAAGTCTGTGGCTCTGTGTTTCATTTGTTTTTCAGGGTTCTGTCAAAGCTCTCTTGATTCAAACTGTTCTCTGTCGTGAGCAGCCTACAGATCAAAGTAACTTTTCTTCTCACCTATTTCCCAGGGAGATGATTTGTACTGGAATATAAATGGAATCTCTTTGGGATTGTGACAATCAATGCTTGAGCCTTTTAATTCTTTCAACAGCCCTTGCTCTCGTTGGCAACATAGCTGCATGATTGTAGCTCAGAATGGTAGACTTCTGTGAGTGGTTCTGTTCTTTCTTGAAACCGGAAGGTTGCTCTTCCTTCTTGTGATTATTTCTCCTTTCTGTGCTCTTTAGGCTTCACTGCTGCAAATTCTTTTGGCCCATGTACTGTCACAGTATCCCCAAATGATTGTATTACTATGCAACTCTTAGGCCAGTTGATCTCTTCCAGTGTTGATGGGACAGTCTGCCTGCCATCCCAAGGCAAGCAGAGAGCCCAACAGGAATGAAATGAAGCCACTTCTCTGATGTCATCTAGAGAGAGATCTCAGCATACAGTGAGGATAGTGACTCTGCCTGAGACTGATGGTGCAGAGTCTTTTTTGGCCTTTGTTAGTGGAAGTTTTTTTAGGTCCCTCAGATGTTCCTCTCTGTCACATGGTAGGAAAGGCTGGATTGGTTTGTGACTGTTGGTAAAGGATCATATTGTATGCTGTGCTCCACCACAGTAAGCTATTTGTGTCAGGCTCCTGAGCAGATGAATTTCTCTGTTGGGAAACAGGGCATTGTTGCTTTTATAGTGCAATGCGAAAAAAGTAATTCCCTGAATGCTGAAGTTAAATGCAAGGTGGCAGCTGTGGCAGAGAATTAGTGTGTGCATTCCTCAAGCATCTGGTTAGTGAGAGGTTGTTTATTTCTTTAGTTTAAGAACATTTGATAGATTCACTTAGCAGAGGCTGGTAAACCATTAAATTCACGGGTTACTTCAACGTCCCTCCTTCGTTTTCGCATTGCCACACACCTACAGAGGTAAAGCATTGACTTTGAGATAACTGGTAGAGAGACCAGTGCTTCTGTAGATCAAGCTAATAGTAATGCAGCAAAGCTGCAGTGTCAGTTGTTATACTTAGAGAAAGATGTAGCTGCTTATTTTTGTAGGACTAGAAATAGAAAGCATGTGACACCTACTCTCTCACAGCCTGTTGTTGGCTCCATAACTCAACAATTGAGTTATACTCAATGCTGTCAGGCAAACTGATTATTATCCAGCTGTTCCCCAGGGCCCTGCTTGGTGATGCTCTGCTACAGCCCTTGAAATCAGAAAAGGTGCTTCTGCTAAAAAGCCCACTGGCTATTCCGTATAAAGTCAGCAGGCAGAAGACTCTGAGTACGAGGACCTGGAGCTAGTATTTACAGATCTCATTTATAGTGTGGAAAGCTTGATGGGCAGGGTGGAGACCAGTCTGGGTTCATGTTGAAAGAAGTCTCTGAAGTTGACCAGGTGCTGTTTTCATACAGCATCCATGAGGAACCAGATCCCCTTCTTCAGTCATAACATTGATCCTACCTTGACTTTGCATCTCCCCTCTATCTGCTCTAAGATGATTGGTCTAGGTAACCTCCACAGGTCCTTTCCAACATAAATATTTCTGTGAGCTAAGAAGATGGAAGAAAGCGAGCAGATAAAGGATTGTTCAAGGAGCTGAACAAAAGTGGCACGTGGCTTCTTGTTCATCTTGGTTTATTGTTGATTGTACGCCAGCTTGTTTGTCTCTTCACAGCCTGCCAGCGAGGATTCTACCGTCACTCCCTGGAGACTAAACACTGCCTGAAGTGCCCCCCCAACAGCTTGTCCAATGAGTCAGGGGCGACATCTTGTTCCTGCAATGCTGGCTTCTACCGAGCGCCTTCAGAGGGCCAGAATGTTGCTTGCACCCGTGAGTTGCAGCTAGAAAGAAAGAACAATATCTGTGCAGAATAGAGGAAGAACTTACTGAGAGCAGTCTTACAGAAAATAACTTAGAGGTACTGGTGGGTGAAAAATTGGACATGAGCTGGCCACGTGTACTTGCAGCTTAGAAAGCAAATCATCTCCTGGGCTGCATAAAAAGAAGCGTGACCAGCAGGTCAAGGGATGTGTTGCTCTGCTCTGGTGAGACCTCACCTGGAATACTGCATCCAGCTCTGGGGTACCCAGTGCCTAAGAGACACGGACCTGCCAAAGTGAGTCCAGAAGAGGGCCACAAAAACGATCAGAGATGTAGAACACCTCTCCTATGAAGAAAGGCTGAGAAAGTTGGGGTTGTTCAGCCTAGAGAAGAGTATGCTTCAGGGAGACCTTATTGCAGTCTTCCAGTACTTAAAGGGAGTATAGAGGAAGGATGGAGAAATCTTTTTTTGCCAGCATCTGTGGTGACAGGACAAGGAGCAAGTTTTAAACTGAAGGACAGTAGATTTGGACAGGACATATGGAGGACATTTTTTACAGTGAGGGTGGTGAGACACTGGAGCAGGTTGCCCAGAGAGGTTTTGGATGCCAGATCATTGAAAAGTGTTCAAGGCCAGGTTGGATGGGGTTTTGAGAAACCTAATCCAGTGAAAGATGTTCCTTGCCCATGACAGTGGGTTGGGACTAGGTGATCTTTCGAGGTCCCTTTCAATGCAGATCATTATGTGATTCTATGAACAGCAAAAAATTGGGAAATGGGAACGAGAGGTCAGAAAAGGAGACGCTGGGGGGACAGAGGGCTCCATTAAAAATGCATCAACAGATTAGAAACTGCCACAGTTCTTTGGGTATCAACAGCTGGACCTAATCCCTTGTTTCCTGCTCCTTGTAGGCCCCCCGTCAGCTCCCCGCAATGTCAGCTTCTCCCTCGCTGGCACGCAGCTGAGCCTGTGGTGGCAGCCGCCCAGCGACCAGGGCGGGCGGAAGGACCTCACCTACACCGTCTGCTGCCGGCGCTGCCACTTCCTGTCCTGCGAGCCCTGCGAGCCTGCGGTGGTGTTCTCCCCCAGCGCTTCTGGGCTCACTAGACCTGCTGTGGATGTGGACGGCCTAGAAGCTTACACCAACTATACATTTGCTGTGGAAGCCCACAATGGTGTCTCAGGAATCGGACCTGCTTCACAGAGAACTTCTCCAGCTGTCTGGGTCGCAGTTGGACATGCAGGTTAGCAGAAGCAGAGGGTTCTTCCTGCTCATCAGGAAAAGACAGAGGAATTTCTTTGAATGTTTAAGCTGTCTCTGTCTTCTCCTTCTGTCTGCCACATGTGTTGATATGATACGATGAGAACTCTAAGGTACCTCTGCCTCTGGCGTGTGAAGTCCATCAGTCACATTCCTTGTAAGCCAAAGCTGTAGTAATCATTACCCACCAAGAGCTATGAATCCACCAAACACTTACCAGATGTGAGGAGGATAAAGCCCTGCCCATCATACACTAGTGTAGTCCAGCCTAAATTGTTACCTGTGTGACAGGGAGAATGGGGGCTGTGGTGTGAAATACTTTCCATGACTCAGATATTGAAAAAAAATCCAACCAAACACAACAGAAACCATGCTGAAACAGGGGAAAGGGAAAAAAAAAAGCACTTTGAAAGCAGGGAGAAGTGAGGATGTGAAAACATGCTAATTCTTGGCACATATCTGTAGTTCAGCTTCAAGCTGGCTAGTTTGGCTGCCCTGTGAATACTTTGCAGAGTGCTATGAAGGATGATTATACAAAAGGGACACTGCAGTGCTCAACAGTCCTTGGTGCTTCCCCTAAGTTCTGATTTAGTGACAAAATACAATTATTTTTTTTTTTCCTGAAAAAGGGGGTTATGTGGTGGCAGTGAAACTGTGAGCTAAAAAAGCAGAGCTACTTTTGGCTCACCTCATCACTTCCTGTTGATCATGAAGGCTGGACTCTTCAGTCTTTGCAGAATGAGAATTATCTTTTTATGCATGAACAGCATGCATTTGCAGTCAGCTGAGAGATTTTGAGCTTTGAATTTCACTGTACCCTTCTGAAATGGAGCTGCATTCATAAATCATGTAAGATAGTTGTGTTACTGCTGCTGTAAGAGCAGAAAATCCTAACGTTTTTGTTTCAACCTGAGCACTTTCAGTGCAGTGCTGTATTAAATGTAATTTCTTGAAACATTGATTTTGTTTTGAGGGCCAAACAAAGTTAGGCTTCCACTTTTAGTGTAGAAATATACGATTCAAGGAAAGCAGTTAATTGCAACCAGAGACCTCATTTCTCTTTCACCACAGAAAAGAAAGGTGAGGCAGTGGCAGTGGCAATGAGAGTGAGTTCCAGTTACATGGTATGGCCAGAGAAGGAAAAGCAGAGCTCCTGGTGGATAAAGGGTCTAGTTTGCACTATGTTTATATTTCTTCGTGATGGTCTCTGTTCTCTGCCCTGCAGCTCCAGTGACAGTATCCCAGTTTATCCTGACACAAAGAGATGACAACAGCCTTTCTGTTTCATGGCTTCCCCCACGGCAGCGCAGCCGGACCTCAGTGGAGTATGAGGTCATGTTCTTTGAGAAGGTGAGGCCTGCCTGATTTGTTCTTTCCTCTTTCACTCAAGGGGAAGGAAGCGTCTTCTTTGTTCCGTGTGTGTTTGCTACTGGATTCTGTTTGATTTCTGCAGGGAGAGGAGGCACGTTACACAGTGAAGCACCTTCTTGAGCCAAATGTCACTCTGAGAGACCTGCAGCCAGACACAGCCTACCTGCTTCGTGTTAGATCCATCACACCCCTCGGGCCTGGGCCCTACTCCCCAGAGCAGGAGTTCCGCACTCTTCCCCCAGGTAAAGGACAAATACTGCTATATCATTGAGAGAAACTCACTTCTCCTTCAGATTGTATATTCACATGGTACACGCATCTCTTTTTGTGTTCTGCTAGCTGTTAAGGCACAGACACCACACTCCTGAGTTCCTTGTCACCAGGGCCAAGCTTGTTGCTTTGTAAAAGTGTAGAACAAGGAGACATTTCTCTTGTTTCTTTGCTGTCATGTAAAATCTACTTGTACTTTCCTGTTCAGAACTCATCAGTTTCAAATTTGTGTGTTGTACTGGCAAATTACTTAACCAGCTCTTCTTCTAGTTCTCCTGCAAGACATTTTTATTCTGGCTAATATTTCTAAGTTTGAATATTATCAAAATAATCAACATGTGCCTCCTTTTCTGCAAAAGTTACTGGTGAAAAAGAGAACTTAAAGGACTTCACCAGTATTCTTTTCCAGCTTTATAATTTCCACCGTATGTAAGTCCAGGCCTTGAAGGTATCTCCACCCAAAAAGATGGTATGTGCTGCTGAAAAGAGTTGTCTACCAAGGCCTAGGTGTAGAAGGCCAAGTTACTGAGGCCACAAGACCTTCCTCCTATGTCAAAGAACACCCCATACAGGCCTCACGTCCAACCTTCTCTTTTCCTGGGTTACTCAGAGACTTCCCCTTTATCAGAAGTTTTCTGTAATGGAATTTTTCTTTCATTTCATTGCACACATTCACAGATCCTCCTGTTGGCCCTATGGATAATTTTAGAAATACATCCATTGAAACAATGCCTTTGAAAGGCTAGTTTTATTGTAGTGAAATAAAGGACATGGAAGAAAGCAAAGACATACCTTTAATATAACTAAATAGTTAAGGTAACTGTGTAAAAGCTGATGAGGACTTGTGATACCATGATTGGAATATAATTCAAAGATGGACAATTTTTTTTGGCACTGGGAGCTTCTGGTAAAATTTTCATAAAGTCGTAATGCCAAATGATGATGATGTGAATGATCTTTAACCAGTAGAATAATATACTACAAAGGTTCTTTGGAAAAAAAAGTAAGTTAATATATACCTTAGACAGTTTTGACTGTGAAAGAACATGTTAGAAAATACTTTCATCAAGATAGGCTTTTTTTAAAATTAAAGTTGATCGCCTCATCATGCCAAGACAAAGATATTTTGAATATGAAAGGGATTAAAAAAGAAGTGCCAGGAGATTTCATTTGGTGGGAGTTCTTCTCTGATAATACTTGAAGCATTGTTTAGCTGTAATGTTCTAGGGATATTAGTGAAACAAGATTTGTGGGGAGAAGCAATTTGTTAAAATCTGAATTTGAGAATTTAGATTCTCTGGTTTCCTACAGAAGAACCTAAAAGCTTGTCCATTTTATTCATAAAAGATATTATTTCATCTTTCAAATCTTGCTTGTTTGATTTTAACAAAAACAGAATGTTAGCTCTACCTCTTGATTTCTGCTTAAATAAGCTGGTAGTTTTTAATCATTTCAGTGGGATGAGTCAGCATCAAATTGAGAAAGAATAACAAGTGTTAATTAGGCTTTATGGATGCTGACCATTGGACTGGATGTTAGGAAACACTTCCAGGCACAATTTTCTGTGTCACACAAGCTGTTCCTTGTTTTAAAATACATTCATTTATTGAAAAAAATGTATGTATGTATGAATTTTCTTTCTTCTTGATCTTTTCTAACTCTCATTAAGGAAAATATTAAAAAATGTGGATTCTCATTAGATATGGATAGGAATAAGGTTTAAAAACACATACTTCCACTAACAGATGTCATTTAACATTTCCTCTGATGAACTCAAACATACTGTATGGAAATAGATGGCTTTAGCTTGAGAATCTAAATGGAGGAAGATAGCCTGTGTTACATGAACACTATCTGGATGCCATCCAATCACAAAATTAAACTAGCTGGTGCTTCCTTTTGAGAAAGCAGGAATATGATGTTAGATTGTAAGTTCATAAGTCAGTACCTGGTTGTTTCAAAAGTCCTAAGCAGACTGTGGCTTCTGTCAAGGTAATTAGGAAAAAGACCAACTCCAGATATTGATGGAAGGAGTCGGGGAAGTGAGTTTCATGAACAGGAAAAGAGTCAAGTTAGACTGCTGGGGAAAATCATGTCTTTGCTGTGCCATATTCTAAATCAGGCACCAAGCAGGAAGAAGAATTTGATCTGAAAGAGTAGCTGGAGAGGAGTGGGAGGAAAGGAGCAGGGATTCTTAATTTTTGAAAGTGCCATGGAATTTATGTGGGAAATCCAGCATAGGGATAAATTACTCAACTAGGAGACCAAGACTGTAGATAAAGAATCAACCATGTATGTACCCACCAGAAGGTGCTCCATGCACATGAGTGTGTGATAGGCCTCAAATCTGGTGGCTTTGCTGCCTGGAAGACAAATGGCCATAGCTTACCTAATACCATTGGCTGGTAGAAGCTGGTTACTACATTCCAGATAAACAGTTCTTGGTCTTCAAGCTAAAGCCATAAATGATATGTCCTTTCTCTTTGTTTCCACAGACATGGGAGCTCTGTCTGGTGGAGTCATAGTCTCTATTATCTTTGGAATTCTACTATTTATTGGCCTGTGTCTGGGACTTCTCATCTTTCGGCGAAAGTAAGTGTTGATTTTGGTATTGAAAAAGGTATAAATGTAGAATAGCTGAGCTGTGGGAGCTTGAGAAAGGGAGGGAGGCCCTGATTTCTCACAGGGTATTGAACAGGTCAGTTGGAGGAGAAAGAGTAAGACCAGTGTGCTGCAGCAAGATGGAATGAGCCTCATTAATTTTGATGAGCAGTATAGGAGGGATTGATACGTCTTTAAGATGATGCTTGCTGCTGAGGACAGAGGAAAATGTGGCGATCCCTCTTTTTTTTTTTTATAATCCATCACTATCATACTGTTATTGTGACAGATGAATAAAAATATGGTACAATCATTCCTGTAGCTGATGATAAATTGAGTGGGCAATACATGTATACAGTAATTTCAAACCATTTTTCATATGCCATTACTTTAGTGGCCCTCTACCCAGATACAAAATTCTACTTCCTTTCTAAATGTCTGTAAGGCTGCTACTGTTTGGTTTTAAGAAGATCAGGTGTTGTACTGAAAGTGTACAGAAAACATAAATAAACAGAAATTTATCTGTAATCCAGCAAACAGAAGGATGAACAAAACTACCTGCACGGAAACAAAGGTCCATTTCTAAATGTAAATATAGCATTACATTTTCTTGGAGCTGTACTCTACCAACTAGGTGCAGTGTCTGGTTCCACTTTGCACTGTGCTGCCCTGAACTCTGTCCCTGACTAACTGGGGCAGACACCCTGGGAGTCTTGCTTTTCTCTTTGCTGTCTGCTGACCGTTTTATTTTCGTGACCATCGCGTGTGTTCCAGGCAGGCGCGTCGGAGGCAAGCACGGCCAGATTACAATACTTCAGGCTTTGATCGAGGTGAGCTTCAGAGGGGTAGGAGAACCAGGGAGAAGCCTGGAATGGGTTGGGAGGAGTGAAAAGGAACAACAGTTTGAAACCAAACACTAGCATGGATTTTCTGAAGTAATTTACCTCTTCCCTTAACAGCTCTAGTCTTCAATGTATGTTTGGTAGATTTGTTTACTGCTACTGTCAGAATCCCATGGATTCACCTCTGCTTCTGTAGCTTTGCTCTGTAAAGCTTGTCCAAAGAGCTGACAGGTTAATGTGCTCTTTTGTTTGCCTTTACCACAGAGAAGGTCTGGTTGAAGCCCTATGTAGACCTGCAACCATACGATGACCCCAGCAGAGGGGTACTGGAATTCACTAAGGAACTGGACGTCTCTTGTGTCACTATGGAGAATGTGATTGGAGAGGGTGAGTTACTTGCCACACTCCCCATCTCTCAGTTCCCTCACCCTGTCGTTTTGCTGCCTGTTCCCGAGTTCAGCCGTGACCTTTTGCATCTGGTTGTCCTCAGGGGAGTTTGGGGAGGTCTATCGCGGGTCCCTGCGGCTCCCAGGGAAAGAACGTGTTGTGGTTGCCATCAAGACCCTGAAGTCGACGTACTCGGACTCACAGTGGTGGAACTTCCTGCGTGAGGCAACGATTATGGGGCAGTTCAATCACCCGAACATCGTGCGTCTGGAAGGCGTTGTCACTAAACGTAAGAGTGTGGAGGAGAGTCCTGGAATGAAAGCAGAAGCTGGCATATTTCTCAGGCCTTTCTTAGAGAGGATGCTGGCAGAGAGGCTGTGCTGGGAGCAGACAGGCATTGTCATGGTAGCGTATGGCAGAGAAGAAGAGAGTAGAGGTATGGATTTCCAACAGAGACATGAGGCAGTGTGAGGAGAGGTATGCTTGGGTTGGTGAGCGGATGAGGAGTTGGGATAGTGTAAGGGGTGCTGCAAGGTTGTAGGTGTGAGCCAAGGAGGAGTACAAAATCATCACAGGAGGCCTAAGGGAGAGAGTCAGTCAGCTGTGCCAGTGGAGTGGGGATGTTGGCTGGGGTATGGTTCTTTGTACTGGGGCAATGTGGAGGGCATTGGAAGGCAGGAGTAGGAGATCTGCAAAAAGGCTGACAGATTCTTGTCTTCCTCCAGGGAGGCCAATGATGATCATCACTGAGTATATGGAGAATGGAGCGCTGGATACCTTCCTCCGGGTGAGACACTCTGGTCTGTAACAGGCTTGTGTACTGCCAGAATTTGCACTTGGCCTGAACTTAGGACCCTAAAAGAAGACTAGAAATAAGATCCAGGCATCCCTTACTTTCTATTCACTAACATCTCCAGTCTCAGCAGTTGAAGCTTGATGCTGTTGCTCAGTGTGCAGAGTACTGTCTTTGGTGGTTGAAGTGCAGATGCCTAACTTACAATTGTGGAGATGACCACCAGTGCTTTAGTGAAAAGCTGTTGGGTCCTTTGGGCTGCAGCATTGCCTTTTTGCTTCTTCACCAATGCCCACTTTTGCAAGTTGATAAAGCAGTAACTAGAAACCAACCAGATTGATGTCACTTGATGTCACGATTTAGGGTCAGGACTTCCCCCAGACCCACAACAGATGTTTTCTGTTAACACCTATCACCCCCCTGCCAAGGGAAAGGATTAGAAAATAAAACAGCTTTAATGAAAACAAGACCACTACTACTACTACTACTACTAAAATGGAATATATACAAATACATACAAACTCAGCATCAAACCCAACTCCCCCAATGGCAATATGTTCCCGTTACCCCTGATGCTGGGGAACAGGCCCTGGGGAAAAGTCCCAGGCCGGACTCAGCCACAGACAGCAACTGGGTCCAGAGCTGGATTCTGGAACTGGATTTAGGAACACAGGGCTCTGGATCAAAGGCAGCTTGGACAGAGTCCTCCTCAGATGCGGCCACTGCAGGAGCAGCAAAAGGGAGGGAGAAGGTGGAAGTCCCGTTACCCCTGATGCTGGGGAACAGGCCCTGGGGAAAAGTCCCAGGCCGGACTCAGCCACAGACAGCAACTGGGTCCAGAGCTGGATTCTGGAACTGGATTTAGGAACACAGGGCTCTGGATCAAAGGCAGCTTGGACAGAGTCCTCCTCAGATGCGGCCACTGCAGGAGCAGCAAAAGGGAGGGAGAAGGTGGAAGCAGGGTGGAAGAGCTTGACCTTTGTGATCCTTCAGCTTTTATACTGAATATGAGGGATTTGGGGTGGAATACCCCATTGGCCAATTTTAGGGTCACTTATCTTGTCCGCTCCTTCCTGCAGGAGCAGCTTTTACTTTCTGCCCCCCTCTGTGTGGTACACAAACTTAGCTAGTGTTAGCTAGTTAGTGTGAGCTTTGCTAGTTTGTGGGGACATAGCTGTTATTTTGTTAACCACATCCATTGGAATCTAATGACACCCATCTTGCCATTTAATTCCCCAAAACTGGATTTCTCATGCAGGTCCCTTGACCTTGCTTCTTTCTATGGCAAATCCAGCATCTAAAAGAATTTCAGTTATTTTCTTACCTTGCTCAAAGGGTTCTTCTGTGGTATTACCCCACACAATGATGTCATCAATGTATTGCAGGTGTTCTGGAGCTCCACCTTTCTCCAGTGCAGTATGGATCAGGCCATGGCAAATGGTAGGGCTGTGTTTCCACCCCTGGGGCAGTCGATTCCAGGTATACTGGACACCTCTCCAGGTGAAAGCAAACTGTGGCCTACGCTCTA